ATATATATATATATATATATATATATATATATATATATATACATATCCACTTGTCAAAGCTGATCTTGAGATAATGATTCCATAATGTCTTAGATTCCATTAGATGCATTGACAAGAAAATGGAGTGCAGCAGCTCAAGATCCCAAGTTGGGGGGCAATAAATCCTTACAGCAACACAACGCAAGAAAGGCATGTGGCCTTCTTGGTATAAACAAGCAAGCAGAGATCAGAAGCACATCGCGTTGAGAGAGACATATGTAGGTCCTTCAATGCCAACGCCGGTGCATCTACTTCTTCTCGGTGCCCATGACTGAATGCAGCAACCCTAGCTAAGAGAGCCGGCGCACATGGCGTGCACGCGATCCAGCTTGAACGCGGTGAAGAGGAGAGTCAGTCTCCCCTTCCCAAGAAAGCTTGACGGAGTTGGGGTTGGTTTCTGGTTTCAGCTGATGAAAGGCCTTGGCCTTCAATCATGGTCTGCCTCCTTCACGTCGGGATCAGTTTCCTGCCATGGAGAAGGATCCGGTGCCGAGGAGGAATGGAAGGCATGGTGGTAGGTATCATTCACTTCTTTGCCGAAAGAGCGAAAGGAAACCCCCATGCCGAGTATTCACTGACCTCCCATACCACTGGGGACTAAAGAACATGTCGATTGATGGTTCTTTTCCCCGAATGTGATCCCGAGAGGACGGTGAATGCTTTTGGGATGATTGGCGTTTTGGTGAAACCCCGAGCTTTCTCACCCATGACATGCATGCATGCTCTATATGTAGCTACGTTCCCCATGAATAGGAGGGTGTGGGTGAAGAGGTCATTCACCAACTGTCCTCTTGAGAGGAATGAGGCTGGAGGACGACAATGCATTAGATAGAAGGCCAATCAATTCCTCCAAGAAACAACGAAGAAAGATGGGAGCCCAAAATCCAATTTGATGGCCTGAGTTGGCCCATCACGAATGCGTCCGTACATTGTATACGTCGCCGAACTGCGGGGCCCAATCGACGTTTAATTATGCGCCTCGCTCAGCCGATGCCTCTCTGCGACTTTATCCGTACTGCAAGGTGTGCTCATATCATGTTATATGCGACAACCTTAGATCACCGTTCATTTCCCCGTGTGATCGTTGCGAGAAATCGTCTCATTCGATTTCGCGATTGGGAAGAGATTTCTGCCCGCGCCGAGGTTAGGGTTTTTTTACTGGGAATTCGTTGAATTCCGATTTTTTTTTGGGTAATGATTCCCACAAGACGTCAATTTGATCCTTTAGCTTTCCTCTTTAATCTTCTCCTTTATTTTCTTATTGTTTGTCATCGTCGGAGCATATTAAGTTGAGAGAGGGAGAGAGCGAGGGAGGGAGGGAGGGATCACCGCTGAGATCCGACTCGAGCAGGTTGGTGTTTGTTCTTGATCCGGGTATTCGTTTTCTTCATCTCGATTCTTTTCTGGTGATTCTGGCATTTTAGATCTGGTGTCTTAGTTAAAGAGTAAACGTTTTGAGGGTTCAGATTAGGGACCCGACATGAGATGTACTTTCTGTGCCATCCTTCATCTATGTTATAGTGACTTTGGTTTACGATTCTCTGAATCATATGTGTCGGAGGTTGGAACAGCTGTTTTAGGCTTAGAATTGGATTGTGGGGTGGTGTTCTCGAATGATCTTATGATTTGTTTTGATTCGAGGACATTGAGGTGCAGATAAATTGAAAATGCAGCAACATGAGGCTGGGTGCCCAGCCACGGAGGGCATAATCCTCTGCTACAATAACTGTGGCTTCTTTGGAACCAAGGCAACCATGAATACATGTTTCAAGTGCCACATGGGAATGATTCTGAAACAGAATCAGTCCAAGCTTGCAACATTAACAATCTTGTGAATGGCAGTGGCAAAGAGCTAATGATGTTTGGTAACGCATACGTGGTGTTGTGACCTTTTGAAGCTAAAAATTGTTTCTTCACAATCACCAAATGCTCCAGATCGAATGGGCCTGAAGGAGCAAACACAAAATATGGTGGAAATAGATGCAGAACATGCGGGAAACGTTAGACCGACCGTCGACGTGGGAACCTTTTCTGGGGTACAGATTGCTGCTTTGATGAGCATGATGATTGCCCATTTGATTATCGTAAACAACTAGGAATGTCATCACCAAAGCGAACCCTGTGGTTAAGGTTGATGTCAATGTCGAGCCCCTCACTATGCCCTGATATTAAGTTGGCTCTTATGTCAATAAATTGTCACAACCCAACTTGATGGGATGATTGATCTGTTAACTTCATTGAGCCCAAACCACTAACTTAAAATGCTTAAGATAAAGTTAACAATAGTTTACGTATTATGTTCTTATAAGTCAATATTAGTTTTAGCCTACTTTTGATGTGAGACTAAACCGGAGTGTTACAATTGCAGCCCCTAGTTCGTGGATTAGAAAAGGTTTGCATATAAGTGTGACCTTTTATTTGTGCTGATTTGGTAAATTATTTCTGGACTTGTGATGTGGCTATTTTTCTTGTTTTACTATTTGACCTTCACAGTAGATTCCTCAACTTGTAGGAATTACTAATGGTGCATGAATAATTGTCTCTGCAATTACTTGATGATTTATATCGTATTCCCTCAGTAATATAATACATAGTGGTGCATGAATAATATCATGACTTTCATGTTACATTTCTTTAGTGGTGGACATTCTTGACACTGCATGATAGGTTCTTGATTGTATGTATCTTTTCCTTAGAATTTTCTGCACTTCCACAGTAGCATAATGCTCAAGGATATATGAATGGTCCGTAGAGTTATATCTGGTTTCTGTGATTCAAAATGCAGCTATTGAGGAATGATATTGGGAAGGTCGGTGAGCTGGTAAGTTGACGATGCATTGCTCAAGTGTTAGAGATTTGTGTTTACATACTTTTTGCTGCATACATCTACTGTGCTTTTTTTCTGCCATAGCAGTGTTTTATGCTGGTACCAAGTATGATGAACAATTTGAGTGACCTTTAAGTAAATTCAACCTATGTGGCATGATCATGGACGCACAAGCACAGGTATGTACATGCTTATGGTGAATCATTCTTGATCTTTGACATTTTGCATGATATCCATGTTTTCAAATTAGAAGTATTATGGCACAATACAAGTGCAACAATGCAACTGGTTAGTGAAGGAAACTTGAGGGGGTTGGGCCATGGACCTGTAGAGAGGTCTGCATGGTTTACATTCTTTTTAAGTTATAGATACAGGAAGAAGGAACAATGCCTTTTTGTGTTATCACCACCATGTTCTTTTAGATTGTCATATCTATTATTTTAGTTTTATATTTTCAACTATTTGTTGGCTGTTATTGTTTGTATTCCGCTGCAGGAATCTTCATATCAATAGGAGATACAAACATGATCCATGAGCATGTAGTTAGCAGATACTGTAATTATTTGGTTTATGACCTACCAGATTATGAACTCTTGTCTATCTTTATGATCTTTTGCACCATGTCTGCTCTGCTTGGCTCAGACCATCATTCGTATGGTGGATGATCGACCCTCCAAAGTGTCTACTCTCTGCTTATATTGCGAGAGCAGCAATCACATGAAGCTATCTAATCTGGGTTTTCGGATGGTCTTGTGAATGATTGTTGACATGATTCAAGTGTCCAGAGATATGACCTCAAAGATTTATATTGGTAATTGTTAAGAGTTCTAATGTAGATCGGGCTTGTCTATAATGTCTTAGAACTTTTGGGATTAGGGATATTCCTACCAAAATTTTTATCACGATATCAGTTTTCCAGAGTAAGTTCTGAGTTCTGATCTTGCATGTATTCCTTTCTATTTCATTCAGGGTTTTACTAATACCGGCGTAATGCTTTTCACTTTAATTTACAATGTGTTGTTAAGATTGCAATAGTTGTTGCTGGAGATTTGGAGTGATTGGTAGATATCTTTGAAGGTAGAGCAAGATGAGGAAGCCATAATATTGTGACAGTTTTCGGCTACCATTGGAAACAGTGACTTTTGTTCTAGATGACTGCCTTCTCTCAAGATGGATGGGTTAGTGGCTCTATGTATGACCTCTATGAAGCCTGTCTTGACTTCGATTGTAAAACCTTGTCTTCATATTGTAACCTTTTCTTCTATACACATGCATAAAATATAATTTCATATCAAGTTTTGATAGGATGTGATGATGCCATACATTTGCAGAACTCAAGGATTTACTCACATCCTTCTTCCCAATTACTTTTGCCATGTTTTCTTCAGCCAACAATATCTTTTTTAATTTAATTTTGTACAGATAAATAGCAAAGACTAATTTAGATCATAGGATATTATTATCAATAGTATGTATGGCTAACTAAAAGGATGGTGTTGTGAGTCCGGCATCAACCCTTAGTGTATTCTGGCATGATGTAACGTATGGTAGGTGATAGCAAGTATGAAACGGTTGGATTTCATGTTGTTGCAAGAAATAAATATCCAAAGTGAACATATTTCGTCGTTTCCTCTTACTGTTCCTCGCTGTCGTCCGAGACACCGACGTGCAGAGGAACAATAGCAGTCTGGAGACTAAAGAATTCCCCGTGCATACGTAACTGGCCCAGTAGATATTGGTCTTTTTCCACGCTCTCCACGTCTACCTGCTGCTTTGTGTGAAGCGGGCGGGCTCTGGTGTTCCACTCACGCACAACACGGCACACGACGAGGACCCCGGTGATGGCTCCCCTGCTAATACTGTCTTCTCGTTGAAACCTTTTGGTGTTGCAGATCCACGGGTGTTGACTGTGTCACCATGTCCTGGAGAGCGTAGTTTGTCCGCAATACAACACCAAAGGCAAGAGGAAGTCAGCTGCTCCTCCATCCTCTTCCATGGTCTCTCCCTCTTGTACAGTAATTCCTGACAGTATTGGATCCCGTCCATCCATCGTTTCCACAGGAAAAAGGTAACATCTTTGGCTGCTTTTTTCCTTGCTAATCCTTTTCCGCGTTTCCCAGTTCATTCTCCTTCTTCCCTCTCGATCTCCGAGAAGAATTCCCCGGAAAACCACATAAAAAAATACCTTCTTACCTCTCCTAGATTGCCTTTTCTATTCAGCACCGATCTCGAGTAGGGGGGAGGAGAATTAAGAGAAGAGGTCGAGGATTTCCAGGCAGGATCGTACCCCAAGGCCGAAAACTGCCCTTGGGTACTCCATGCTTCCACTGTTCCATCGGACCTATATTACACGGGGGAGGGGCAGAAGCTGATGTAGATGGATCGGTCGGGTAGCAGGAGGAGCACGGGCACGGCGGTGGTGGCCGTCGAGGTGATGGAGGGGAGCAGCAAGGCGGAGGAGTGGAGCGGCGGCGCCGGGGATGGGGACGAAGGAGGGGAGGCCGTGTCGCTGCAGACGGGCGACATCGTGGAGGAGGTCACCTTCGGGGCTGAGCCGCCGGCTCGGTCGCCCTTCCGGGGCGGGCGGTCTTGGGTCATGAAGCTGCTCCACGCGGCGTATAAGCGCGGCGACACCTCCGTCGTCGTGCGCGCCCGCCGCGGTCCGCAAGCCACCTACCTCGACTTCCACGCGCGCGTGGTGCCCCACCCGGCGGCCGGCCGGCGACAGTACGTCCTCCGCTCCGTCCGCGATCCCCGCCACGCTGTCCGACTCGTCGACCGTTCTGAGTCCGACTGCATCACCTTCCAGGGTACTACTCATACGCCTCCTCTCCTCCTCTCCTTCACAAAGCCAATGAAATGACATTTCTGTGCGAAGGTTCAAGGAGCTCGAGGGTGGTCTGGGCGCTCAACAACGCGCAACTCCATGACGGGTTCGTGTCGTACCCGTGGGAGAAGAAGATAAAGGAGACGCTGCCGTCGCCCAGCTCCAGCTGCTTCCTATCCCTGCTCGTCCTCCCCAAGGCGTCCGACCCCTCGAGCACAAGCTACGACCCCGTGGAGGACACCTTGGCTCGGGCCGAGGCATGGCTCGGCTCCTCTCAGGCCTCTGGTGTCCCCATCGTCTTCATGCACATCCAGACCGAGTCGCTCCTCACAAAGGTACGTAACGAATCCAACATCATCAGCTTCGCAGTGATCGCCTCGAACGACGCCATTCAGCCCCTCTTCATCGTGTCGCAGATATCGGGAGAGACAGCATCCACCACCGTCAATATGGGATCATTGGCCGACCTCTCCAACGTAGCAAACGCCAGCCTCTACGGATTCGAGGACTACCACGGGGTGGACATCGGGGTCGTGAGGGCTGTCAGGCTTTGGTACGCCCCCGCAGAGGGTGAGATGGCGTTCGAGATTGAGCCACGGGAAGGCGACACCAAGCTGGGCTTCTCAATTAGCCGCACCGAGGAGGTCGGTCTTCATCTTTCTGCTTTTGCTCTGTCCATTGTTCTACTTGATCCAAAGCACACGCTGTGTCTTCTCCATGGTACAGGGCTTTATACACATCTCATCCGTCGAAGACGACGACGGTACCGGAGTTGCTGCAGGTCGATCAGGACTCAAGAAGCTCTACAAAGCAGCAGCGGCAGCATCGAAGCTGTTAGTGGTCTCGAGGGTGGGAACCGAGAAGGTTCTGCCATGGATAGTCTCCACGTCGGGCGCCATTCGGTGCTTCGACACCGTCTCTCTCAGCCAGAAGCTCTCGCTGCACCGCCACGCTCTGAAGCCCATCCTGCTCCACCTGCTTATGTGGGAGACGTCGGAAACCAACGTCACTACCACCAAGGCCGAAAGTGACGAGCATCCGACGCCAATGTCGCCGCCATATATCGTGCCCCGAGCTTCAGACGGAGCTTCTGCTGCCGCGTCGTCGCTCTCAGCATCTCCCGGGCGCGACGAGCTCCAAGACGCGGCTGGGGACCTGTCCTTCAGATTCTGCGACCTCTCGATATGGAACACGTCGATCTAATTCCTACTGCTATGTCATCCTGTCGTCCTGTACATAACAAAGCAGTAAGCTCAGCTGTTGCTACTCTACCTTGTGCTTGTGGCATGGAAGAGGAGTTCAGGTACAAGTATTACGTGTGTTAGTGTCAACGTCTTTACGCCGTGGCTTCCGGGCCAATTCGGTTGGTTCGGATCTGAATGATTGGAGATCTTCCTGAACGACCCTTGAGACTACTGAGGTAGTCGATCGCGGTGGTCCGATCGTGACGGGTCACTGTTTTCTCCGGGAGGAGACCCCTCGCCTGGGCCTTCGGTGGGAGGCACTCTGTCTTCGTCCCTGCACACAGGTCGAGTCACGAGAGCTCGACCCGACCCCTCCGACGATCAAGTTAGTCGATAGTCTCATAGGGTTTTTCTTGTTTTCTTTCCTGCCTCTTTGTTCCGAATGCGAGAGTTTTTATAGGGAAGGTCACCGTTTCCTGATGTGCCCGCTTGTAGGGAGTAGGGTCGTACCTGGGATAACGTTTGACACCGGCATTGGCGTTGCGTGAAGGACCGGGCTTCTGCAGGATGGTGACGTGCCTCGGTCGACATTTTGGTCTACTTCGGCCAAGCGCTGTCAGGTCAGACCAAGGCAGGCGACCCCCGTAACTCCTCGGTCTACGTGACCTAGGAGATGTCACCCGGGAGCAAATGACGTTAGTTCATGTCCCATCATTATTATTACCCTCATCATTCCCCCCCCCCCCCCGGACGGGACGTCATGCATTGACTGTT